TTTCCAAATCAGACAATGTGATTGTCTGGATTTGTTTTCTCATTTTGACTCTCATAGTTGAGGTCTACCTATGATGTCAATTACAAGCCTCTCTTATCTTTTTAAGTGGGAGAACTTGCACAATTGGTGGCTGACTAAATACTTTTTTGCCCCACTGTATGTGTGAGGGGAACCTTTACCTTTATCTTAACCATAATGAGAGTGATTTCCATGAAAATCTATGTGCTTTACCATGATTGCAAATCTCAGCTCGGTTGAAATGCACCATGACAATTTATATATGAAAATCCATTTATAAATCCACTGAGCTTTCACTCAGTGGTGTATAAGGGAAAGAAAGAGAGAAAGAAGAATTAAGAACAGCAGAATTAAAAACAACAACCAGAAGGCAAGGAATGATTGACTCAGAAAAAGTAACAATGGAACTATGAAACAGTGCCAACAAAAAGAAGTTGGGGAAGGAGGTGAAGGGGAAAAGTTAAGACTGAAATGAATTATGTCCTTCTGAAAGCTCATAACAAGCGAAGCAATTATTGGGTACGACTTAGTTTTCCTGAATTCAGAATTGCATGTCATTCTGAAGATACGGAATCAAAATAATTACAATTTCTTTTAAGAAGGAAAGAGAAGGCAGGTGCTTCTAAAATGTCAAGGCAAATCAGGACTCCTGTCCTGGAGATCATCTACTATAGCCTTTGTCTTGTCCATGAATTTACCTAATCCATTTTTAAGACTGCTAACTTGGTAGGCACCACCAACCCATTGAGTAGTAGAGAATTGCCAAGTTGAGCTGGCCTCATTTGAGTCAACGTCCTGTAATTAGAAAAAAATAATAAATTATCTCTGTTCTCTGTTTCTCTCTACAACACACACTTTCATTGAATGCTATTTCCTTTACGTATTTCTTAAAAACAATTTAGTTGTACAGTTGAAGTATTTATCTTCAAGGAAGTTGTGCCCCTTCCTTGGCTCTAATCCCATCAGATTAACTTTATCCTATTGACAGAATACACAGTTTATTAGAAAAAGCTTTCTTAGAGGCCCTATCATTATATCACTTTACCAACCCCAATTTTCTCCCAAAATTGCATGATTAACACTTTCTCAGGTAGTTTCTGCTGACAAGCACCATGGCTGCTGACCCACTGCAGCACTGTTTTTCGGTCTATCTTGACACAAACCTGCACATGAAAATGAAACTAACCAACATTTCTCTTCCCTTTGATGCCTTTGATGTGCGTGAAAGAGATAAATCCTTAGCTATGTGTTCACTTGCTAATGTAATCTGCTTGTAATTTATGTCCTCCAATTCTGCACATTTTTTGGGTTTATTTTAGATTGAAGGTCTGAAACAGACAAAGAAGAACAAAATGGAAAATGATATTCTGCAGAATATAAGAGGATATGGATGTTATTTTCAGGGAATGCAGGACTATTTCTGATGATTATTTGCATCTAACTGATTATATATGGTGTCCAGATAAATCTACCCTGATGATAAACAGCTGTTCCATGTTTCAAAGATAGTAAAATTCACTTTCTATGAATTATGCCCCAATTCTTGACTTGCTTTTTCGAGAGGAGGTTGCCTGAAGTCTAAATACTCAATTTTAATACCTTCCCCCCCGCCCAGGATTTAGAAGCAAAACTAAATATATCAGGGGCCATGTTGCTTTGTTTTAAGCAGAAATATTTTAACACTGAGTAAAACATTGTACCCCATCTACAAAAAGATTGCATCTTAGTATACACCATATTTTTCAGAGTATAAGACGCATCTTTTTCCCTCAAAAAAGAGACTGAAAATCTGTGTGTGTCTTATACATCGAATACAGTATTTTTTTGCCTCCTGAAACCCCCCCCCCACCTTCACCAAAGTGGCCGTGCAGAGCCTGTAGAAGGCTTTCAGAGAGCTCCTGGGGGCTGGGGAGGGCAGAAATAAGCGAAAAACAGGCCATTGTTTGCTCAATTTTGCCCCCCATCCCCCAGGAGCACTCTATAGGCCCCCTAAAGGCTATGCATACCCCTTTTTTGACAAAAAGGGCCCATTTTCTCCAAAAAATTGGCCATTTTGGGGAGATCTGCCGAGTACAAAAACTTTTTTAAAAAAATTTGTCTCTTCAAAATCTTGGTGTGTCTTATACGCAAAGCCCAAAATTGTATCTTAATATACAGGTACAAGTAGTCCTCGACTTACAAACACAATTAAGGGCAAAATTTCCATTGCTAAGCAAGACAGTTCTTAAGTGAATTTAGTCCCATTTTGCAACCTTTCTTGCCACCGTTGTTAAGTGAATCACTGAGCTTTTAAGACAGTAATACGGTTGTTAAATGCATTGACTTTGATTGTCAGAAGATTACCAAAAGTGATTACATGACCCCAGGACAGGACAGCCATCATAAATATATGCCAGTTGCCAAGCATCCAAATTTTGACCATGGAGAAGCTGCGACAGTCATAAGTTATTTTTTTCAGTGCCATTGTAACTTCAAATGGTCACTAAGCCAATGGTTGTAAGTCGAGGACTACTTTTATATATTGCTTTATGTCTAGAGATCCAGTAGACGAGAATGCAATGCATGCTTAGTTTATAAGCCATCCCTCAAAAGTTGCCTACTGCCATGACTCTAGTTCTCTTCTGCTCAGTTGTACAAAGCAGGGGCATGTTTCTCCAGCTAGCTACTCAAAGACAATGTGCACTTCTTACTGCACAAACCTTGCTCATTTTACTACTACTTGCTATTGTTTTTTTCCCTACCCGTCCTTACTTCTCTTCCCCTTCTTCCTTCCCTCTGTTCTCTTATTTACTTTTGCATTTTGTATCTTATTTTACCTTATAACTCAATAAAAATGTTAAACCAAAAGAATGCTCATTCACCATTATGTGGAAGATGGGAAAGTAAGCTAACAGTAAATCTGTTAAGGGGCTTTTAGTTCACCAGCTTCACCATAAGAGGATGGGGGAATTATCCAGAGCTTGCAGAAAATATATTTTCCAGTAAGAGACCAGGAATATCAAGGGGATCCTCACCAGATGAAGTGAAATCAGCTTTCAGTTCAGTCCCTATGAATCTCCATATCATTTTGACACCTTTCTAACTTCTCATGGAGGCAAACAGTTGAATAGCAGATACATACAATAATTGTTACTTAACCACCACCACCACCACCACCCCCAAAAAACCAATAGCTCTTAAGCCTCTCATATTTGAAAATGCCAATTATACAGAATTTCTCAAAACCTAAACAATGCAAAGGGTAAAATCAGATGCTGCCCTCTGATAGCTTCAGCTTGTTACCACCTTGTCCTCTATGATTCTTGGAGATGAAAAAAAGAAAGAAACAATTGGAAAAAATGAGATTGTGGCTTCGAGCAGCTTGTCACTTGGTTCTAGTTGTGCGAAGTCTCTTAGGCTGCCTACAACCTTCAGGAACCTGGGAGAGGAATGTTTTCATGTTGCTGCTTTTGTTCCTTTCCAGGATGGTACCCTACAGAAAGGATAAAAGATTTGTCAAAAGATTTAAGAGTGGGGCGGGGAGGGGGGAATCAAAGGAGAGCACAAAGACAAAACTTCTCCACCTGACTTGCTCACTGTAGTGTAAACAATGTGGGAAACTGCTGGGAAGCCAGAGTCACACGGCCACAAAGGAGAAATTAAAAGTGGGATTCCCAGAAGCAGAGATAGAATTGTGCAATGAACAAACTGGGGTAAAACCACATTGAGACAGCCAGGCAAGACACTGTATACTGAAAAAGAACCCCCTTCTCCAACTTAAGTATACTGAAATAACATTTCAGGGAGTACTCGATTTACAACCACAGTTGAGGCCAAAATGTATATTACTAAGTGAGAAATGTGTTAAGTGAGTTTTGCTCCATTTTATCACTTTTTTTGCCACATTTGTTAAGTGAATCAGTGCAATTGTTAAAGCAGTAATACCTTTGTTAAGTGAATCTGGCTTCCCCATTGACTTTGCTGATCACAAGGTCACAAAAGAGAATCACATGATCCCAGGACACTGCAACCATTATAAATGTGAACCAGTTGTTAAGTATCCGAATGTAAATCACATGACTACATACAGGGATGCTGCAATGGTCATAAATGGAAAATGGTCATAAATGGAAAAATGGCCATCAGTCGTTTTTTTCAGTGCCGTTGAAACTATGAACGGTCAATAAACAAACTGTTGTAAGTCGAGGACTACCTGCACTCTACTCTCTAGCTCTGGATTTCATGGTTTTCTTTCATTAGAAAACCAAATTAACAGTTCCTGAAGGTCTTGGAAGACCATCCCTAAGGCTTTCGGAGACCTTTAAGTGATCCTAATACTCCATGTTTTTTACCTCTACCACAAACTATTGTTTCTGGCTCTTGTCCTCTCAGTCTTTTAATCTTTCTTAATTCTCCTAGGTGGTCAAAGACATATTGCTAATTGGTCACCGACAAGCATTTGCATGGGTGGATGAGTGGTATGGTAAGTCATGATTTTTTTTAAAGAGAACTATTTAGAAGCACAAGAACTATTTCAGACATGTACTGAGTGACCTGCTTATTTTTTATTCTAGTTGTTTTTATTAAAACAGTTAACATGGAGGAGGGTGTGTTCTATCCTTCAGACAAAATACTAAGAATTTTAAAATGTTTATACTTGTTTGCAGCTCTGGTACAATCCTCCTGCAATGCTGGCTTCATAATTTTATCAAATTTGTACTTTAATATCTGTAAATCTAAGTAGCTAATTTAAATTCTAAATCTTTCTGGTTCAAATCTAACATACCTGTTTTAAAGACTAGTACCAAATCTCAAACCGTGATAGGTATTAAAAACATAGTTTGAATTTCAGTATCAGCATCATGATGTAATGGCTAAGATATTGTCCTAGGCATAGTTTCAAATCTATCCCCAATCATGGAAATTCAACACATAGATGAGTTTCAGCCAATCAGTCTCTCAACCAATCTATCTAAGGCTAGGGAATTTTTGTGAGGATAAAATGAAGGAAGACAGTAATATGGGTGGCCTTGAGTGCTTAAAGTAAAGGAGAAATAGAAATAATTAATTGTGTTAGGGATATTCTTGCCAAGCAACAATTCTGGAGAAGTTTCTACTTCTCCAAAATTGAGACAGGCAAACACTCAAGTTTATGGCTTTCTTCCAGGCTCCAAACCACAATTTTGTATTGTTTCTGTCCTGGTTCATAATGTTCACTTCAGTGCTAAATAAGGGCTTCATGGATCAGAAGAATTGAGTATGAAATGGGTTGAAAAACTCATTTAATAGATCCAATTTAAATCTATTGATTTGTTGCACTGGATGACAAATATAAATATACATTGGTATAAATGCAATAAACCAATTAAATAACTAAGTTTTAAACTTACATTGTAAAGAGATATCAACCATAAAAATTACCATAATGATTAAATTGTAAACTTCAATATAATTAATATTATTTTATATTTTATAAAATAAAATTATTAAATTATTTTATTTTTTCTTTAATAAAATAAAAAAGTTATTCACGGTAATAAATATTTGAATTCAAGCAATCCCTATATATCTAAGTTAGAAAACATGGAATAGGGAAAGGAGAGTGAAATGAGTCTGGTCATCAGGAAAGTTGACATTTTGTTCCATTAAATGCACTGCAATTAATATTAGGATTTTACTCAGATGTATAATTGAACCTCCCAGCCAGCCTTTGTTATCCAGACTTGAACCACTTTTCAAAGATTAAAATTTTATTTAGGTATAAAAGGGTAAATCTTTAAAAGGAAATATCACTGGAGTTTGTTTCTCTCATGAGAATAGCTTTCCACTGTTTTATCATTTGACATAAATGTCTTGTTGCAAAAGTCCTTTTGTTTTAACTTTTAAGATTTTAACAAAAGTCTTTGGTCTTATTATTGTTGAATAACATTAGATGAATGTATAGAATTAGAATATTTTACAACTTTGACCAATCTTAACATTTCTTAGAGGTATCAAATGAATTCCCTGGACTAATATAGAACTGCTCAGAATCTAATTTATTTTGAAATGCATATTTTGTTGATGCAAGGGCTTCATCTTCTAATTGCAGACTAATCCTCAATCCTAAACTTGTTTACAAAGACCTGTTGCCATGATTTTAGTGTGACTTACTATCCTGTAGACATGTGTAAGATTGTTGACTAATACACCGTTAGCTTTGCCATAAGACAGCCTTCTTGCATTAACTTCAAAGTTGCTAATGAAGAGCATGAATACTGCTTGGCAGAAATGCTTCTGATCATGCTGGTCCCATTGCTTATAAGCTTCTTTGATCAGTGCCTTTTAATGCTCCTTAATTTTAAACGAGGAAAAAAAGGAAAACGTGATAAGTGAATCATACTAAGTATTAATGGAATGTATTATGAGAGTTGAATTACTAGAATGTGCTAAAACAGGAAAGTGCTAAAAGAATATAATTTAATGGCTTCTACTGCAACGTAAGAACATTCTTTCCTCCAGAGGAAAAAACAAAATTCAAAGTGCACATGTTCAGGTAGATATTTTTAATATTGCCCACATATTCATGTTATCATTATTGTGGGAGAACTGGACTGTGTATAATTCTACTGGATAGCCTTGCAATTAAAAAATGAAGAGATACTGATGGTAGCTTGACTTTCAAAGCATTTAAAATTTTTAGTTAATCTATTACTCGGGATGTCAAATTCACATCACGGTGGTGTCATGTGACATATTGGGACTTTTCCTCCCTTTACTAAACTGGGTGTGGGAGTGGCCAGTGCATGATGCATTTGGCTCATGAGTTTGACAGCTCTGATCTTATGGCTCAATATCCCTTACAGTCTAGGCTAGGTAGTGTGAAAACAATTTAATATATTGATAGGCAGCATAATGTTATTTAAAGTAGTACTCTATAATTGTGTTGCAAAGTTCCTGACAAGGTAAGTAGATTTTTGAGCTGTTCTTTAACCCTTCCTCTTTTTTCCACCAGGAAATCTTCTAAATTTATTTTAGAAGATGTCTGCCTTTGGCATAGCCTGCACCCTACACTTTTCTTTCCTAGTTCATTTCACAGAAATAACAGCTTTCCAAATCCCTATACAGTGATTCTTTTTAACTGATCCTTCTTATAACTTACTTTCCTTGGCTGGTTTATCTAGCTGTTTGCCTACTGATACCAGAATTGGCTTCCTGCTTTGTGGCTTTTGCTAGGAAGAATTTCCCCCTCCCCACTAGAATTCTCCCTTTGATTAAAAATTGAGCTTGAATTAATGGAAGGTCCCATCGTCTTGAACTTTTTTCAGATATGACTTTCGGAGATGTTCGAGAGTATGAGAAAAATATGCATGAAAAAACGAACATTAAAGTGTGCGATCAACATTCATCTCCTGTGGATGAAATAGAGAGCCATGCCAAAGGAAGTGTATGTAGTGCCTTTAAAAATATTGCCCACCATCTCCTAATGCAAACAAGGAACAGAACATGCTGAGCTTTAGGAGATTGCTATGGGAGTAGGCCTGGTCACTGCAACTGTCTGCTTCTCGTATGCCATTATCCCCATCAGGTTCTGGAAGGATCAACACAAGGTTGAAAAGGGTTTTGCAAGCTTACATATTTTGGTGGATTTGCTCAGAGTAGAAGCCTGAGATATAGACAGACAGACAGACAGACAGACAGACAGACAGGCGTTTCCATATACAATTGTCGTTTAAAAATTGAATTCTCAGAATTTTCTGAGCTGGCTGGACAGAGATACTGATGTCTCATTTCCCTGTGATGCCTTCAGAACATTTCTTTTCTCTTTTATCAAAAGAGTCTCTCGTTGTCTTTTTAACATTGGGATTAAAAAAATTAAGGGGTTTTAAGGTGTATGTGTTTGAAATAAAGGAAAAAACCGGTGCTCACTTGAACGAACGTTCTGCTAAGCTTAAAAAAATAGGCATGACAAAGTGAATGGCATTTGAGTTGCTGATTACATCTATCCTTGAATTATGAATCAAAAATAAACCCAAGGGATGATGCATTGCACTGCATGTCTGTGCGCATCTTTAGCTGCAGTGAGTTATCTCCAAGGAAAATGAAATCGTCAGGTTAGGCTTAACTGAAGGTACCATTTGGTAGTTTTGTCTCTGTTCGCTGTGCCTATTGATGGAACAATCCTTTCTGTCACTGGCTGTGATCTATTAGATCAGATTCAGGCAATTAATATCCCAATGCTACAGTTTTCTTCAGAAATAGATAATATTCCTGGTTCAGATGGCTGATCTAGAACGTCTTTAAACTTTGGTTTATTTAACAAGCTATCATGGTCCAGTTTGGTCCAGTTATAATACCCAGACATAATGGATGAGTTCATTCTTCATACCATGCTGAAAAATAATTAAGTAATAATACATGTTTTGTTATGTACAAATCAGGCTGGTATTGTATGCGTGGGCATTCTCACTTTCTTGTTCCATTAAAATTACTGCATTTCACTCAAGGAGCAGTCATCAAATAGGAAAAGGAAATGAAAGTGGCACTTTTATCTCCAAGGAAAAAAGCATTAATTTAGGAAAAGTAAACTCTCCTTCAATCAAGCTCAGCTCTGGATGACTTCATAGATAAGATTCTTGGCAACGGTACCGAAGTATTTTGCCATTGCCCTCTTCACAATCTTTTTTAAACCATCCATTATAGTTTCCTGGTTTTTCTTATACTCCCCCATCCAAAAACTAACCAAGTTTAACCACATTTAGTTTTTGGAAATCTAATAAGTTTAATTACTGGTAGATGGTATCACCTAGCTGGATACTGGAATAGACAAAGAATGAAATGGGAATTCTTGCAAAAAAAAAAAAACCCAAAAATTTTCATATTAACTAAGAATGTACCTTCTAAGTCCTCTCTTTTCATATAGGTAGTCCTTGACTTATGATCACAATTGAGCCCAAAAATTCTGTTGTTAAGTGAGACATTTGTTAAGTGAGTTTTGACTGATTTTACTACCTTTCTTGCCACAGTTGTTAAGTGAAACATTGCAGTTGATAAATTAGAGGCTTGGTTGTTAAGTGAATTGGGCCTCCCCATTGACCGCTTGATAAAAGGTTGCAAAACCTTAGGATACCACAACAGTCATAGGTGTGAGCCAATTGCCAAGCATCTGAATTTTGATAACATCATCATGGGGATGCTACAAAGGTTGTAACTGTGAAAAATGGTCATAAATCACTTTTTTTCAGTGCTGTTGTAACTTTGAATGGTCACTAGATGAAATATTGTAAATCAAGTATTACCTGTATTAAGATCTCACATGGGTCAAAAGTAAATAATCCTAAATTAGGCTGTTAACAAAAGTAGAAACAGATGGAAAGGATATCTCTTCCCTTGCTAGCCCCTGACATAGAGTGGGCGAGGGGAACAAGGACAAGAAATCTCAGTGTTCGTTTTGGCATAAATGTCCAATAAACAGGGGCATTGGAAGTCTTTCATGGTTATCTCCACAGTTTTGATGCAATAGATCCATATGTTTGAACCAGGGGCGGGATTGAAAAAATTTTCTGCCCGGTTGCTGGGTGGGCATGGCCATGGTGGGCGTGGCCTACTCGACCTCCTGCACCACAGTGAGGGGGAGGTGTTTTCACCCTCCCCAGGCTCTGGAGCTGTTCCTTGAACCTCCAGGAGCGGGGAAAGAGCCTCTCCCAGGCTCCAGAGGCCCCCTGGAGGCCAGAAACCGGAACCTCTGGGAGGCCCGTTTTTCACCCTCCCCAGGCTCTGGAGTCTTTCCTTGAGCCTCTGGTACAGAGGTGGGTTCCTACCAGTTCGCATCTATTCGGTAGAACCGGTTCGTCAAATCTACTGAACCGGTTAGAAGAGGTTCCACCAGTGGACCCGGAAATTAGGCTACAACTACAGAAGAGGTTCCAAAAAATGTTGAAACCCACCACTGACACACACACACACACACACAGACTCACACAGAGAGAGAAAGAGAAAGAAAGGAAGAAAGAAAGAAAGAAAGAAAGAAAGAAAGAAAGAAAGAAAG